TACTCATATTTAATTTTTTCTTTTAAATCATGGAATCTTTTGTCCATACCTAAATAGTTTCGTGAGTTATCAATGTGAAACGATAGAATTGATCGAGATAACTCTTGAGACCGTGAATCAGTTAAAAGGAAATGGTAGAAAATCGAAGCGATCGCCTCAGTTCGGCCTCAAAGTGGAATTCGTACGGATGCAAGATGCGAATCCCGAGCCTGTCTCTGTGGATCCGCTTGGAGGAGAACAATATTCTGTTCCGTCGCCCCGAGTATACACGAACGACGTGCTTCTTATCTCGATCCGCCGCTTGTTGCAATGCAAACACGCATTTAAACGATATTGTTTAACCATTTCTTGTGGATTGTTTGGCCAACGCCGTCTGCCAAGCAAACGGACCGGCCCACTATCGATGTTTTAATTCTCTGTGATGTCTCATTTATATTCTTCTCTATTTACCTATCGGTTATAGAAAATCTTTTTTTTTTTTTATTTAAATGTCTCCATTATTCGAAGAACAATGAAAATTAATCGTTTTTCTCAAATACTTTTTTTATAATAATACATACTTTTATATGTAATATTAATTACACAGAAGGTCAAACGATCAAACGGCAAGAGTTTAATCTATACATAGAAAGAAGAAGAAGAAAATTTGACATCAAACGCTATATTTGTTATAGAGTCACGGACAAATATCGTATGACAGACGATATCGTTGATTATACGTCCTTCTTCACATACTGACAATTTCGTATCGTTAATTATAATAATACGATAAGAAATAATCTTTAATTCCATCAAGCTTGATATCGGCGAATAGTTGAATTAACAACGCTATAAAGTTCCGGAGAATCTCGCCGAGTCTCAACAAAATTAATTTTTAATTCCTTTAAATTCGGCACACTCTGTACATGTAACGTGTAATAATATACATCTTATATATAATAACACTTTTTATCAAACGCTGATAAGCCTGTCGTATCTAAATATGTTTCTTCGAAAGATCATCCGTATCTAGCGCTCTTGAGAACTTTTTATCATCCTTGTGTTTCCATTTTCTTTCTTCAAAAAGAAAAGAAAGAAAAAAAGAGTAATTTCCTTCTCGAAGAGCACCGAGAGAGCCGCCGTATCGCGCATTGAAAATCACTTAGGGGGGCGATGCTTTTATCAAAGAAGAGTCGTCGCGTATGTCGCGTTTACGTTGCATAGAGAGACGACGTTCAGCAGCGCCACGCGCCTATCGGGAGAATTAACTGTAGTTTTAACGTGGCTCCGACTCGGAAACGAGGCGCGTTCGCGTCCCTCAATGACGACTACGACTACGACTACGACTCTACGACTACGGCACGACGCGATACAAAAGGACACGAGCGTGTGTGCGTGGCGCACGTGACGCGTTTGTACGCGTGTGCGCGCGGGCTCTCCTCTACTCGGGTGCACAAGAGGCGTTCGGGAAGTAGGGAGCTCCAAAGATAGCGTAGCAATTGCTTTCGAACCCTTTCGGAACACTCTTTCCACGTTTATTTCTGACAGGGGGGGAAGGGGGGGGCTGCCTCGTAGAATTTCGTTCCTTCTTCGTGCGCGCGTACGAAATTAGGTTACGAGTCAATGAAGAATACTTCACGAACACACACGACCGCGGCCAAAGTGAAATCGCGAAATTGCCCCGCGATGGAAAACTGCAGGGAAAACGTCATTGGTACGTATCAATAAGCACGAGTAAAATTGCCTCACGACGAAACAGGATTCCCCGAATCCGTTCGGATTTATCGGCTAACCTATTTATATTCCACGTAGCTGGAACATTCGTTTCCCTCGAAACGTTCAATTGCGAACTACTCTGACGAAAGTTCAGTACACACACACGTATATACGTCAATTCGAGCGGATGCGAGACGAGTGATGGCCCCTTTAAAAAAACGGAATGAAAACTCGGAGATTTTTCCATCAATGAGCCAGAAACGGCTGGGAACGTTGTTCTCTCGTTGGTTCGACGACCAAGGGACGGTTCGGAGGGGCGAGATAAATTCTCGAGACACCCTGTGTGCAGTCGCGCTGCTCGTTCGAGGGGAGAAACCTCGGGCATGCACGCGGGGGGAATAGAGACGGAACGAACGAATGGAAAAGGAGGCGCTGCGGGTCGAAAGGAGGAACGAGTTTCGCACGAGCGGAACGAAAATGAAGCTACGACTCTCTCTCTCTCTCTCTCTCTCTCTCTTTCTCCCTTCCCTCATCGTCTCTCTTTCTACCTCCCGCTGTCTCTCTTTACCTTTGCTACCGCTAGCTCAACGTCTCTCTGTTCGTCCAACGCGAAAACCCTGCAGAAAGAGCGGAACATCGACCAGAACGGTGACACGAATGTTGAACGAAGACGAGTAGCACGTCGCGAGTAACATGTGCCACATTTTCGAGTTAAGCGGAGCTGCTGCTGCCTTTGCTTATTGTTAGTTTTTATACCTCTAATACCACGATCGATTTGTTTTCTGTCTACTGTCCGGACGACCTACACAGCTCGATTTCCCAGAGACTGAGGACGCGCGTGTTTCGCCGTTTCGGGCAGATTTTTCGAAGAAGTGGGAAGGAGGAGATATATATTTGCAGATACTAGGAACTTTGTTAACGCGACACGTGCGGATAACGAGTTTGCTTATCGGTTCCGCGAAGCGACTTCCCGACTGAGACCTTTTTTTTTTTTTTCCAAAAATGCTGAAATGTCAACACGATTCCTTTCAATCGTAATCAACCGTGACAATAGCGATTTCATACGACGAGAGTACATACGTATCCGGTTTAACATCATGTTCGAGCGTGTACTAAATTTGTTTAAAATTTTTCGCTATTGTGTATTTTTAACACGTCGACTGCCACGTCGGTCACCTCTGACTTTGAGATTGTTTCCTCGATGGGGCCACGGTGACCCACAAAGTGCCACAGATATTTCGATTAAATAAAATAAAACAAATATCGTCGTTAACAAATTTTTCACGTCACAGCCGACTATATCGTGAAATAAAATAAAACTTTGTAACTGCAGAAGATTGTAAAATAATATTATAAAATAAAAAAACGTACGTTTCAACAATTAATTAAAGGATTTTAATTAAAACACTACGTATTGTATCACAGAAACTAAAATGTCTTGTGAATCAGCGTGTTACATATGAACAAATTTTTTTTTTTTTCTTTTTTCTTATATCTCAGAAAATTAGAAGAAAAGAAAAAAAAAATACACCGTGTACCATTTCGCCGAAGACTGCGAACCACGGTGCTCAACGTGTTAAGTTGCTCGCGAGAAATTAGTTGCTCCTGCCTGTGGACGCGGTTCGATAATCGCGGAGAGAAAACGATTTTAAATACGCTTCTTGGAAAGCACGTACCGCGCGAACGCTATGTCTCTCTGTCTCCGTTCCCCCTTCCGCGTCGCGGCGCTTCTTCAAAGAAGCAGAATTTCTGGCGAATTCTCGACGCCGCCAGTTAAAATTCGCCCTCACCAACGAATAATACGCCCGATAAGCGGGCAAATTTACGAGCTCCTTCCGTCGAAGCTATCGATTGGTTTTTCGGTTGTTCCCAAGGACACAGCCGAGATAGGGCATTTTGAAGGGTCTCGTGAAAGCCCACCGGGGTCTGACCTCTGTGTAATATGTTTTCGACAAAGAATGCTGCCAACCAAAGGCGGTTAAGAAAATATCCGCAGCCTCTCAATTCTCTCTTTCGTTCTTTCAATCCAATCCAGTCATTTCATTTATTTATTTGTTCATGTAATTTCCACTTTTACACGCATCAAGGACTCGATCATGTTTCATGTGGAGAACGAATCCTCGAGTCTCACGAATCTTGCATAAAATTCTGTATTTTCGTATTGTCAGTTGACTTTTTAAACGAAAAGAGCAGAATAAATAAATTTCTACCTATTTTTTTTTTTTTTTTTTTTTTTTTACTGAAACAAAATATAAGAAAAAACTAATTTTATTGATGTTGAATTAAATTTCAGTACAAACGTGATTTCTTCCCATATGTTTTGCAAATTATTTCTTTCAAGTATATAATATAACAAAGACATTACGAATTTATTTTGGCAGGAAGTAGATTTTACTGGCCCACCCTGTGTACACCCGACGTACGTAAAATTTGGAAAACGAGTAGCAAATTGGTACGCGAAACCTCTCCACATAGGCGTGTTTGCGAGATCCGCGGATCCGCTCTAGGATTACTCGTAGGAGTTACAACGCACGTAAGAAGGACAGAATAGAAGCGCGACGCGAGAGGAGAATCCATCGAGAGAGAGCGGAGCGCACACACCACTTTCGTGGCTGTTCTGAAATCCTGCTCGGCACGTTCCCGGACGCACACTCTCTCAATGTCGCTCGCAAGCGGCGTTACGATGGAAACGCGCGCGCATCGCCACCGGGACACGGACGTGCACGTAACTCTGTGTGCATTAAGTGGCGGGACAAGCCAGACGCACAATAGACGCGCATCGGGGCCCCGAGACATCGACCTTCGAGTAGCCAGGCAGCAGGTAGATCGTCGCTACTTTCGAAAAAAAGAAAAACGTTTCAGACGGATTCCCGATCTCGAATCGGGCTAAGATGATTACCAAACTCGGCCTTGTGCATCACTTAGCGAGCCATGCGAGATGATTGACCAACTCAGAATCCCGCGATCGATCGATCTCCAAATTGGAAAGCGAAGAGACACGAAACGGACGGAGAATTTTCGACTTAGTATGATTTGCTTTGTGTAAGAAAGTGCAGGTTTGATTATCTTTATGACTCGTGTCGAGGCAAAGTGCTTTTCAAAATCTAGGATTCAGAATTACATGTATGTAGAACAATTTGCTGAAAGTCAAGTCAATTTAACGAGTACAAATGCTCTAGATAAATGCTGCGCGATAGATTTCCAAATGAGGGGTTTTTCGAGTAAAAGTAATTGATGCACAAATTGCTGATTGCGGTTTTGCGATTTATTGACTGATTTGAGAATTATTTATAGCGTCTTTTGTAATGAACGAACATAGAAAAGTCAGTCCGCATCGTCCGACTATGAATTATAAAAGAGAACTGTATAACCATTGAGCGTCGTTCCGGCTTCCGCGAGATTCGATCGTCAAGGATGTTGATAGCTTGATAGGTTCATTTTCGAAGGATGAAGATATATAACGTAGAAGATTGTCATTTCGATCGATCTTGAAAGAAACGCGTTTTGTTACCCAGTTAGAGAGAGATTAAAGAGACCACTTTCTTTAGAAAGTATCCTCGGTGCATAAATATCACGGCAAGATAGCGTGGTAAATTTTTATGTAACGATAGACTCCGGCTTGGAAAAGAAAACGGCGGATCTCTACACAGTAATATGTATAACGACACCATAGAGAAATTTCGTCTCCATTTGAAACATTTTAAGTGAATCACGTTAATCAAATCCTCGTATAAAGATTCGACGAGCGAGCGAGCGTTTAAAAATTGCTCGCGTGCTCCTCTATGTATCGCAGGCATCGGGGTTTAACCTCTTGCGCTAGTAACGGACCATAACGAGCGACCAAAAACCGTAAACAATAATTCGTCTTCTTTTTGAATTCATCGGTATATCACCGGATGAAAATTATTAAGAAGTAATAAATTTGTTATTTGTTTTGCCTGGATTATATTTCAATATACTTAAAACTGAGAAAATGTTGCAATACTTTGGGCCAAATATTCTCGACGTGCGTGGCACGTCACTCCAGCGTAAGAGGTTAAAGGAGCCCTGTGGATCTCTGGTCACGGTGGGAAGAGTCGCAATTCAAAACAGTGTAAAGTACGTGTCGAGGGACGGTTTCTGCTACGCGTCGGAACGAGACAGAACGAGAGACTCGGATGAACCAGACAGATCAGAGCGAGAGGTCCTTGAAACCGAGGAGAGCGAGCGAGCGAACAGATGGGACGAGCAAGTGAAAGATTCTCGGGACGAGATTGGTGTGAGTAAGAAAGCGGGACTGAGTGAAAAGAGAGCTACGGTTCTCGAGAGAGGGAGCAAGATGGCGGCCGTGAGCGAGGAGGATGCTCGTCGGAGAGAGGAAGAAGGAAAAAGTAAACAACGAGCTCGAGCGAGAAACCGTACGAACGGAATAAGGAGGACGAAGACGAGGAGAGACGACAGCGCTCGAGACGTGGAGAAAGAGGGACAGAGGAAGATTGCGGAGGAACGAATCGGCGAGAAGCAGGTAAGAAAGGAGCGACCAGCTGTTTCCTCGTGTGACGTCACGCAGGTGCCTCACGGCCGGCTGGGGGAACGAAGGTGGGCAGGTGGACAATGCTCCTAACCCTCTTGTATTCGTATCTGGATCCTGTTTTCCACCAAGTATACTTGGCTAGTACTTTGCTATCTTTTTCTTTTTTTTGTTTTCCTTCCCGATCTTTCGGTATCATTTTCGAATCCTGCGATATATCTCGAAAGAGACCACCACCATTACGATCGTTCACTCGAGCAGTTTATGAAAGCGTTGCTAAAGGCTCGTTCGAGCGGTTCAGGCTAAAATACGTTTGGCATTTGACGTTTCAGCACGGTGTGCCTTGGAAATGTCAGTTTGCCGATGTTCCGACAAAGTGTTACACATTGCGTGGCGTTTCGTTTAACAACAATGGAAATGAGCCTGAACTCATCGTTCCAAGGGGTTTAACCTCTTGCGCTGGAATGACGTGCCACGAGGTTAAATCCATATATATTAATTGCGAAGAGGCAGAATGATAAACCACGGCGAGAGTCAATTCGAGACTCGAGGGGGCGATTAATTTTAGAAAAAGATGCGCTTTCTGATCGCGCCAAAGAGACGCGAAAGCAACCGTGGATCTCGACTTCTTCGAGTCCTGTAGGGAGATACGAGAGAGAGAGAGATATCGAGAGAGAGAGAGAGAGGCTCCGATGCAGCCATCGTCCATTGGCATCCCACTGTGCCTGCACGCATGCGTGCTCTTCGTGCCGGTGCGCACACACGCGCGCGTTCACGCACGTGCCCGCGTGCACACTGAGACACGCGCCCGTAAAGAAGAAATACAACCTACATATTTCGTCGAGGAATCGACCGAACTGGCTAACAGCGAGCTTAATACCTCCGAGGCTGATGTCTCTCGAGATCGTTCGAGAAACCGCTCGATAAAAATATGATCGACCACGAGCTGATATTCGAGTAAATCTGCCGTAGAGTCTGGTTGAATTAATTTGTAAGGACTGTAAAGACAGATCCCCGATTACGAAGCGTGTAACTCTTTAAGATTACTGTTGTTGGGAATTCTTTATGATCTAACCTTTTCGTTATTTTTAATACGAATGAAATAATTTTTTTTTTTTTTCTGTAGTGTATTTTCTGGTTTGGACATTTATGATAATAATTCAGAGCTAAGAATTTTCATGTAATATTTTTATATTAAATAAAAGAATTTTCATATTTCCCAAACTCTAAAATATACCATTTCTTCTTCGACTCGATAGAAGAAGAAAATTTTCCATATGTTTTGAACTCGTTTTATCTCGTAAAAGGCACGTCTAAGGGCAGTCTTTGTACACAGATTTATCGACCGTGCATAGTCCTTGGTTCGAATCATAAACACAATGGTCTATGACCGTTGACGTCCAACAGCCATATTTTTAAAAATGTCTCCGTTCAATGACATTAGGCCGCGCTCGCGTCTGTATTTTAATAGACAAGGCATATATATGTATGTATGTATATATATTTGGTAGTCGCGCATGGTTCACAGATTGTTGTGCTCTCGTTCCCGCAAACGACTCCGCAGATTGGACTTGAAGCGATTAATCACGAACATTATCTTATCGCGAGTTGAATGCTCCTATCAACGACGCGTCGCAAGCAATCCTCCGCTATGACGAGATTGTGCAACATCGTGCGCAACACCCAGGCCAGATTCACCAATAATGCAGAAACGTGTATTGTTCCATATTAGGCCCGTTCCTACGTTTATTTACGAATAACTTCGCAAATAACTTCAAGTCTGTATTTCTGAATCTTGCAGTGAAATCATTTTTGAAAATTTTCACGATCGAAACTTCGAGATTTTTTTTTTTTAATTTTATTTCTTTATATCCCTATCGGTTTTTATTACACTCGATGCGACGATTAACTGTTAGGTATCTGGAATTCGACTACCTGTACTATTGTTGTTTCGTAACGACGAAACGGCCGGGATTACGACAACAACTTCTTAAATATAATATAAATATAATCCTCTATTGTTAGAAATATCCTCATTAAAACAGTGTTATTTTTCTTCGTATTTTATTTCTTCGTTTCTGTCTTTACCACACTCGATGCAGTAATACGCTGTTCAGTTCAATATCTGAATTTTATTATTTGCGAAAAGTCTAGAATTACAAGGAAAAACTTTACAATACAGTTACAACGCCTAAGTATTTCTGCCAATTTCTCTAAATCACACTGAACAAACAGTTAGTAACAAAGGGCTCGGTTAGTAATGAAAGCGCTTACGCAGAAAATCATCAATTTGGACAACGCAAGGTCTTGCCATACTTGGCTTCGAATTCCCCTAAGTAGGCAGGTATGCGTATGACTAACAATGTTTCAACGAGCGGGGCGGTACGATTCGTTGCTCGCTCTGTCCTTCTCCGACGCCTGTCGACCCCTACATAACTCTGTCTCTCGCATTCACGCGCTCTCTTACAATTAGCTACCTGAGGTACAGGGAAGTATTACTCACCACGAGCACATTGTTTTCATTGTTCCGCGAGTTATGATCCCGGAGTTGATAAGATTGAAGACTAAAACGAGGAAAGGACACTTGGGGTTTATGGACATTACGAATGTTCATCGACGACCGGATTTACTCTGCTCTAACTGTTAAACGAGTCTTGATACGATTCCGGTGACGTCGTTCGATTTATTTAAACGAAATTCATCGCGGATTTTTACGCAATCATTGAAAATTTGGAGATAAATGGGGAAAATAGTAAATAAATTGTATTATTTACATTGAAATATCGAAATATATAAAATATTATATTACAATATATAAATGATATATAAGTAATTATAATAACACGCGAAAGAAACAATTTTCTATTTACATTTCTATTTAAAAATGCGTAAAAATCCGCGTATCCTAAGATCCAGAGTAGTAATTTACCATCATCCTTGATGTTATCGACACTGTCGCCGGATAATGCGAAATTATCGCAAGCAGCATTCATGAGGTTGCGCACACGTAGAATTGTAAAAGGGTTCAGGCGTGTTTTCGTCGTGTTTTCTTTTTTCAAAAGTGTTGTTGGCCGTCGAACGCGCGGCTATTTAAACAGCCGCTCCGCGGAATCTCGAGTTTGACCTATAATTAAATGTGCTATTTTTCGCCGGCACGCCAATTTCACTCTCGCAGCGCCGCACCCGTGAGTTTCTTCAGCAAAATTGCGCATTCGAAATGTCGAATCGTCGTTTTCGTGCTCCTTCCTGAAATGCTTCTAGATTCATGCCAGTTTCACGAAGAAAAAAAAGCATCACTCGCGGGTATAAACAAACGTTCGCCATACAGTGGGACCTCGAACGAAAAATTGGGCCCTGGATGTTTGTCGATCGGGCAGTACTCTTCAGTATTTACAATGTGAAAACGCTGCGCCTCGGGTGCCCCTTGTATACGCATTAGAGTTCACGGAACTGTGCGAATGCTTGACACTTTCATACACAGACTCGATTTTGCTTGCTCAAAATATTAACATAAACAAAAATAAATAAACGAAAATATCTATTAACGTTGGAACAATCGTATCGAGATATGAGTCACTGCAATGAGTTCTACGTATGAGTCACTATAATTTAAATGACAATTAGAGATCGATAGCCAGAAATTAATATCAATTTTGGCAAGAGTAACTTTTAAGCAGCTGTAAAAAACGAAAGTTTGTAAATCAATCGTATTGGTGGGTTTGACTGTCATAATACGTTAATAAAATTGCAATTATTAAATTACAATAATATTCGTAATAAAAATTAATATTAATAATAGTATTATAATTGTACAATTGTTATATATAATTTATATAACAATAATTGTACAATTATGTATAGAATTATTATTACTATTATTTATTATTATCAAATTATAAATAACATTTTCAAATTTCGTGATCATATTGGTAAACTTTGTAAAATCAATTGAAGCCTACGTGAACGAGTGTTTTTTTTTCTTTTTTAATAATCAAGAGAACATCGAAGACAAGTGAGTATGTTTTAACTGTCACATAGGCAAAGATTGTTTTTTGTTGCGAAACTTTGAATTTTATTAGTGCACGCTTCTTTTCATCGTTGCCAAAGATTGGTCGTTTGATAAAGGAGGAAAAACGGTTCGTATTGCACGAGACCGCAGAATCCTCCTTGCGGCTCCTTCTAATTAACTATTTCGCATCGTTAAGATACGCTTAACCAACGAGGGGACGATTTATTTTCGTCCGACTTGGCAGTGCCTATCATAACGTGATTAACTAATTCGCCAACGAGCGTCAATTCGTTCGAATAACTATGTACGTATTCGATTCCCAATGAACCGGATAAAACGGTAACAAATCCCGTCAGGGTTTCATGTCGCAGATCATACGTCTCCTATTTGATTTGCAACGTCTCTTAAAACACACTCGACTTATACAAAATTTTGACGCGCGAAACACTTAAAAAAAATTTCATCAAACGGACACGGCGATATCCACGGTTTTTTCGTCAGTCGAATACGACCAAAAAGAATTCTATTGTGAATACTGAAATACCTTCCCGTAAATGTATATATACACGTCTGAAATACTAGTCGTCGAATATGTTCTCACTGGAGCGTTCGCCTGCAAACGTTATGAAACGGATTTTCGCAATTCCACGGTAGTTATCGATCGGTTGAAAGCATCGACATGTGAGTTAGAAATATTTCATCGCGGCTGGTTAATCCACCGCGTGTGCAAGGGTTATGAACGTCGACGTTCCCCATTAGCGCGGGTCCGGGAAGCAGTTCGACGATCGCTCGAAAAAAAGTGACGGTTGCCCCGAGACGGTTGAACGCACCAAGACGTGGAGCGATCGTTTGTCGAATGAGTGGTGAGCTCCCGTCTTTATTTTCAGTGACACCGGTGTCTATTTTTAAACTGGCTTTGGTCACCTTCGTGAGCGCCCCCTCATCGAACATTGTATTCGGCATATCGATGCCCTAACCTCGCGCGATCGTCGTCCAGTCTATTGACTATGCAACGTTATTATTATTTTCTCACTGATAAAAATAAACACAACTTTTATTCTTATACTTATAAAATTCGTCGGAGACGCTTCATCGTTGCGATCAGCAGAAATATTTCTGAGATTATTACATTACGATTACGTGCGAGTAAAATTTTCGAAACAAAGTTTAAAAACACGTACGCACGTACAGGTTGCAAAGTATTTATCACACTTTACAGAGTATATTTGAGCAAAGTAAATTATTGATTGTATTAACGAGTCAATATTGCGCGGTGGCCATCTTTAGAATTAATTCTATATTTAATACCATTATTCACATTGAGTGTATGTAACATTTGTTTCTGTACATAATGTTTGCCAAGCTTGCAGCTTTTAAACACATTTTCAGGTCGGTTGGGAATTTTGCCGATAAGCTGTATCTCGTTACAGTATTAATTAATGAAATTTCAGAAAATTTCCCCGTATAGAATATACGTACTTATAAGGGTACTTTTTTTACGTGCTCTTAGACAGTGACGGCTCGTTGCTTAAAATTGTGGGGGAATACTGCAACTTTCGGAATACACATGGATTTTTGTTTCTTACATGAAACTGTATAGGATCGAATGAAATAGAAATAAATTAATAAATACATCTATATATGTAAAAATTAAACATTAATATAGGCAACCGTAATAACACGAAATAATATACTAAATACAATAAATACACGAAATTGACATTTCACGAAGCGTTTCCTATAGCGTGTAAACATTTGTAAAAAATTTTTTATAGTTTACACATGGTCTTAGATAATTGTATATCTCTAACAAGTATATATCATCACAGAAAGAAGAACGCGGATTTCTATAATTTCACACTTGTCAAAGAGCTTGTCCTCCCTGTTGTCTGTCATTCCATCTGCACGCGTGTACATTCAATTTAGGGGAAATCACTGGAACAAAGAAGTAAATCTTGCGAGCACGTCAAAGAAATGAACCCGTTCTTTTATTAGCGAGCGCGGTCGCGCTGGCAACCGTAACTATAAGGTGGGCATAGCACACACAGGCTCGCCGCGGTTCTCCCGTATCCTTTTCCCGTGATTACAATGCAGGGACGGTACGATCGGTGGCGCTGATAACAGTGTTTACAGAATCTGGCATGGCGTTATCTTCGCCAGCTTCCGCAACGTCCGTGCTTCTTTCATAAACTCACGCGGAATTTGTTAACCTTCCATTTACGTTGCTTGACACGGATTAGCAAGATTTCCCCCTGGCTAACCTCTATCTTAACCTTTACGACCAATAACGACGTCCGCGCTATTACGTGCGCTATTACGCGCGCGCGCAGAATTTTTTTCTCGACAGACATTCGTCGCGTTCCTCTGAGGATCCTTTGTAACTATTTATAGTATTTACAGTGTTTATAGTATAGTGTTTATATATAAATACTATATTAATATAAATTTAGTATAGTGTTTATATATAAATACTATATTAATTATACTATATTAATACTAGTGTTTATAGTATAGTTTTTATAGTTTTATAAATATTATAATAGTTTATATATATATATATATATATTATACTTGTGTTTATAGTATAGTTTTTATAATTATATAAATACTATATTAAATATACTATATTAATACTAGTGTTTATATATAAATACTATATTAATTATACTATATTAATACTAGTGTTTATAGTATACTATATTATACTAGTGTTTATAGTATAGTTTTTATAGTTTTATAAATATTATAATAGTTTATATATATATATTATACTAGTGTTTATAATATTATAAATATTACTAGTTTATATATATATTATACTTGTGTTTATAGTATAGTGTTTATATATAAACACTATGTTTAATATAAATACTATAAATACATATATAAATTTATCGTGCATTGATGGAACGTGTTTTCAGATTTGTTCCAAATTTTGTGTCATGGCTCTAATGAAATTTCGAAACATATCACGCACATAATTCTACGAAAAATTTGCATTTGTAGATTAAAATCGGACACCCAGTATATTCGTTAAGCCGCAGCCTGCGATTTTCTGTAAAAAAGAGAGACAAAAAAAAAAGAAAAAAAGAAAGAAAATGACGAAGGATTTCAGGATCATCTTGATAATTCGTTGATCAAACAAGTGTCGAAGTTTTTTCACGCACGGCATGAAATTTTATCGCGGCGTGATTTATGAAGTTAATTACCCTTCAGCGTTTCACTTTTAAGGTTATACGCCGGACAGAGTCGAAGGGTGGTTCGAAATTTGTACAGACCAGATATGATCAAAGGTAATCCCGAAGGAAAAATTCGATTCGATGCATGCGCCGGCCGTTGCTATAAAATTGAAACGTGAATAAGCGCTTGCAAAACAACCAATATACGCTCTGATAACTTCACGTTTTCCGATAGGTTAGGTCAGGGACCAGAGTGGAATTTCGAATCCCGATACGTACATACGCCCGTACGTATCTTCTTTTTGGTTTCATTCACTGTTCATTGCCACGGGATAAGGATACATTTCTCTCCCCTTTGACAAATATTTCATTTGTAAAATACCAAAAAGTAACATACACACGTTCCTCAAGACGTGTTTTCATACAGCGAAATACATTTGTCGGTTTCTTTTTCACGATCTGTCATTTATTCGATCACCTTTTAATTACTTCGTCGGTCGCGAAATCCAAAAAAACAAGCGACACTACGAATTTAATTTCAATTTTATTTAATTTCATTTGATATCATCAACCTAACCTAACCCTAGTAAGAAAATTTGCAACGTTTTCAGTATTTGTGATTACATACAATCCTAGTTTTATTTAATGTTACTTTTATTATCATATTTGACATAAAGATTGTAAAACTGTAAAAAAAAAATTTACATCTTCACGATTTCTAGTCTCCATGGTTACGTAACCTCACTGTGACGATTTTGTTCCATCGTGGTGCAACTGAGATTGACTTGTCGACGCGTCATTATTAATATTATTAATTGCCGCGCGAGCGGACAGTGATGCGTCTCTGAAAGCGTAAAATGCCAAAGCGTTCCGGTGAGAAATTCGTCGATCGTTGTAACACGATATAAACACGACCGGTGAGTCCTCTAATGAAAACGATCGGACGCAAGTGGAAAGCCGTCCTCTGTGTCACCTCTCAGGCTTTTCTTCTCCTTTTTTTTCTCTCCCCTTACTCTCTCGCTCGCTCGCTCGCTCCCCACCGTCCCACGCTCGACGTTCCCCCCTCGTTTCTCCTTCTGGCTCCATCGACTTTTCTAGGGATCTCACGGATAACGTATAGCTTTCATTCCTAAAACCATACACAGCCCATGTTCGCCGCCGACTCGCAAGTTCTAATAAACAATAAACGTTTGGTCTGCAGTAATTGCGCGGGCCATTATACATTCGACCTCCCCCTCGCCTTTTCTCTCTTTCCCTGTGGATTTGTAAATGAAACCGGGACGATATTACGGCGAGTTTTAAAATTACGGCAGCGCGTGCAGCAACGTCGCTGGCTGGGAAATACAGTGTTTGAACATTGACTGTAAAACATTTTTATGAATGTACTGCATATCGCGTGAGATGGTAGACTTTGAGTACAAACCTGAGTATGCGGACGGAGGTTACGAGAAAGGAGGTCTGTTGTTAGTTAAAAGAAAAATCGGCAAAATGAGACGCTCATTTGCCAGATCGATTAACTTTTGGAATTTTTTTAGATTCTAGCGTCGAAGCGCTTGATTGACTCTCACCTATTTCTATTTAAAATAAATTTCCCTATATAAAGTGATGTAAATAAACTTTCCTAATATATAGTAATATGACACTGTTAAACGACTGTTTTTTTTTTTATTGGCTTATGAAACTATATCATTAACTCTTTTATATATATATATAATATACTTCTTGCATATTATACTTGCTCTAGCAAACTTGCAATGCACGTTGACAATTGCTTTAAAATTCAAACAATGTTCGAAAGGTATAATTCACAAAATTTCAAAATGTTGAACACCATTAGCATGATTACTTCCAAACGCTGTGTCATTTTATTTGAAGTGATGATGCTTCGTAAATGAAATTGCTGGTAGATGATACGCGAAAAGTGGAGGGAAGAAGGTTAAGACGTTCGAGATTGAGGTTAGGATCCAGTTTCTTTCCGTCCCCGGAGCGGGCGGAAAGAAGTGAAAGTTAATTTTGAACGGGCCATTACAAAAGCGTAATTGCCCCGTTAGCCAATCGGGCGATCATTGTTTTGAACGGAATGATAGATGCCATCAAACTATCATTAAAGCCGCGGTTGCGTAATTGACTCGCGTGGAGCGGTTTGCATCTTTCTTGCGGGCAAGCAAGCCTGCCTTCCTCCCCCCTCTACGTGTATATGTAACGCCGCTACCGCTCGAGCGTTTAATACTCGTCGAAGAACGTTTGCCAGCGATCGTGATTTATTGTCAGTCAACCACTACCATTTACGTGTACTCTGTCAAGATTAACTTCTTCGTTCGAAATGCATTCATCACTTACACGCGTCGTAATTAATATCGGATGTTTTTCAACTATCAAAAAAAAAAAAAAAGAAAAAAGAATAGATATCTTCATGACTATCACCATGAAAAAAAAATAAATAAATTATATTTTCATCATTATCGGCATTGACGCTAATTTACGACAGCATTCGAACGTTTTTGTCACCTCAAAACGATATCTTGGTACTGTTTTGCAGTAAATATCTCGCGATATCTATACATACGTGCGTGCACACGTTTTTTCACGTCTGTCAACATCGGTCGCAATTGTGGCAATCGAGTTTTCGTGGCTGACGAAATCTCCAAACGTTTTTACATAACGCATTTGTGCCAAGTGTTTGTAAGATTAAGATTGCTTAAATAAGTTACTTTCGACAAGTCGGCGCGTTATCGATAAAAGTGAAAGGCGAATATTCTGAATCCAATGAACGTGAATTTATCCTCGATGAATCGTCTCGGAGCGTTCAGTTTCCTTAATCTGTGGAACGAATCGAATCGAACACGTTTTTTTTTTTCTAGAAAAAAAAGACAAAAAAAAACAGACGGAGAAAGGAAAGATAGGATCAGGCGTTTTTCTGATAGCGTGATTCAGGTAATACCGGCGCAATAGCATATCGAGCATGAGACCATCCATGCTGATCGATCTTCTGGCATGGCGCGACTAACTGTGAAAAGCTGATGGCGCCGACAGCGCCGCCACCGTCGTTTTCGTCGTCGTTGTTCCCGTTCTGTCTTCATCATGTTTTCAGTGTGGTTAGTGTCGTTTCGCTCGTGTAAATACACGCCGTGCGTTCGTGTCTCTCCTTGCCCCCTCCCCCTCCTTTCTCGCGTACTCCTCCGATAACGAACGTGTTTTACGCACCGCACCAAAATAATCCGATTACGGGGCCAAGCTTGGCCTTTAAAAGGCGCCTCCGGAACGGGAAAAGGGCGGGAGAAAGGGAGGTCCTTAACCTCTTTGACTTGGCTCGCCTGTTTCACCTCCCGATTCCGCGATTAAGTTTTAATGAACTCGTCCCCCGGCCAGCTTCTTCGTTCACTCGAACGTATTCCTCAATTTTGGACGTTCAGCCACGATACTTTTGATTTTTCGTACATCAGTCTAGTCACTTATGTACAGGGTGGCCACTGAAAAACTGAAGAGCTTTTAAAGAGCCTGTTACTTGTGAGCAGAAAAATGATGGTCATTCGAGGGATGTTGTTTTGAAAAAAAATCCATTTTATCCATAATTATATTTCCAAATAAGTAGTAAAAAGTTAAACACGTATTTGCAAAAGTTACTTTTGTTTTATATCGTTCAGTCTTTTCAGCGACCACCCTGTATTTTCTTTTTTTTTTTTTTCTGTCTTTTTTCCTCGTTCGACAGACGTCGACGCATTATCCTCTGCTGTCCGTAGAAAATTTCTCCGCGCTCTGCGTTCCTGTTCGGCCTGTTCGTACGATAAGCACAACGAGGAATCTCGGCTTTTAATCGATGCCGCCGCGGAATTCACAACGACGCGCGGTCGAGTTAATAAAACGTTTCAATTATTTATCGACCGCGGCTCGTTGAAATTAACGAGCCCCGCCGCTCGATATATCGGATGGTCGAAATAATTGCCGGATTTATTGGTGTCTTCGGTTCGGCTCGAATTTTCGAGTTTGGTTTTGCATAACGTTACGGTGAAAGTTGGACTAGAACGCGGATCCCTGTTACGAGATCGGACTTCCCCGGCCGCGAAAGTGAATTTTCCTTTCCCTCTTCTCCTTAAATACGAAAATAAACACTCTTTCCTCGGGATCCTAGCAGTTCTTCCCGTGTTCGTGTCGAAAACATTTCTCTTCGATTTCAGAGTGACATTTTATCAAGATGCAAAAATTAACAGGATTCGTATCGTATCGTATGTCTGCGATGATCGTTAATTGAAGAGCGGAATTAAAAGATATTATTGTCCGTATCCGTGGCCGAGTTGAAGTTACTCGAATGATATTCAAATAAATGTCTATCTAAAATAATTATTCGAATATATATGTTCTCATTGGTTGAATGTTTTATCATCGTTAATAATTATTCATCGTTTTCTTCGTTTATTCGGACAGTTTGGTACAGAATGAATTTTAATTATTATTAATAATAATTAATTAATATTAGTTATTCATTATTTTTCCATTTTAAAATTTAAACACACTCTACGTGTGACATAATGATATAAATATACCGACGAGTGACAGAAATGCGGGTCTGGATGGTTGTTCTGTTGGATAGACTCGATACAGTCTTAAATATGTACAAGGATACCTATCGGCCGAAAGTATCGCATGAACAAACAGCTCGTGCGGCGCAGCGTTCAGTGAGTGGGGAGAGGGGGAGGCCACTCCTCGCCTCTGCCCTCGCGCCAGTTCTCATCGCCGGAATAAATTTCTATTCAAGTAAATTTTTATTCGAATACAATTCCACGGACAATATTCGTTTTATTATATTTCTTTGTATCCCCCCCCCCCTTTGTATCTTTTCCCATCGTTTCTTAAAATATGAAATCCTATCAGTTAACCTGGTGTTTCGAAATATTAAACAGAGACTATCGTAAAGTTGTAAATTCTTGTAATACATTTTGTTAATAAGTAAAATTTCTGCGAATAGAAAAATGGTTCACAGCCTTATTTATTTTTTCAATTCTACTGCATAGAGCAGAGGTTTATTTGTCAGATTAATTTACTAATATGTAATTCGATTTACTTTGCTGTTGCGCCTCCACTTGCATTTATTAACAAGTGAAATTAGCTAAATGTCAACGTTTCTTATTTATTCACTTATTATTATTATTATTACATAATTTATCTTGTATAATTCTTTCAAGCGTGACAATCAGGTAAAAATCAATATATCTTATTCATTTACATTTATCTGTTTTATCAGATATTTTTTTACACACGATCGCATAATTTATCTTAATTTTCGGAAGAACCTCATAACTTTCGAAGCGAGTTCTACAGCAAAATTTTTCTTATTGTCACTCCCAGCGCGACGCCGCGAGTTCAGAGAGTTGAGTTTTACGTTCAATTGTCGCGGAGGGAAACGTACGGTCGGACATCATTTTTAAATGAAGCGCGCGCCTGAGCGACCAGGAGAGTAGAGGGAAGCGGCAAGTGGCACGTGGCGCGTGTGAAAAAAACACCGCCGCGAGACCGATGTATCTTCAGAATGCCTGTTTATCGATTTGCCGGAAGATTTGCCGTGTACAATGCCCCTTACCACGCTCTGACAACTTGTGCCTTCGCGAGGAGCGTCCGGATCAGATTTCGAAGGATCGTAACTTTGTTTACTCGGGCGCTGATTGAAAAAATTCGTATAGGAACATGTATGAGCATAAGGAACAAATAATAGTCACATGAACAATAAAGTTATATATATTTATTATACATTTATGTCATTCACTGTCAGGAACGTCTTGTGCAGATTGAGCGAAAGGAGACAAAGGAAGATTGCTCGTTGGCAATGAAGACATTGCGTCAACAAATAGAAACAACAGAAAAAGTAATAAAAAGAACAAAAATAATAACAAAAACAGTAAATTAATAATAAAAATAGTGAAATATTAAAATGGTGGTAAAAACTAAAATCTAAATAGTAAACACAAAAATAATGTAAAACACTAAATATAAAAATAGTATAAAATACTAAATACTGAATACAAAAATAGTATAAAACAATAAATACTAAAAAACATAATACAAACTATTTGTTGAAAAGAAGATACGTCTTAAACGTATTTACAAAAATCAGTCTCTTAGGAGAAATATACACGTGGTCGAACTATGCGTTTGACGAAGTTCTGAGAACGCGTGAAGTGTAGATAAAGAATTAGGGGACCTGGGTCCACTGCAGCTTATACCTTCTTCGACACTTGAGCTCTCGTACAGAAAGGTTAGCGATATACCTCTTTCAGTGAAATAAAGTAAAAGTAAAATCATAAAGTGCAGTAAATCATTTCTTTTACCCAATGCTATTGAATACTAAATACTAAAATACCAAAGCAATAATAAAAACACTAAAATATAGAATAAATAATAAAAACACTAAAATATAGAATAAATAATGAAAACACTAAAATATAGAATAAATAATGAAAACACTAAAATATAGAATAAACTTTGAAATAAAAAATTGCTTCGATTTGCTGCACTTTCCTCAGAACGTTACCAGAAACTGATTTTTTTCTCGTCTATAGTCGTCGCCACTTCGGCAATTTGGCGAACACATGGCACACAGCCGCATGATGCGCTCGTGCTTTAGTGCGATCACTAACACAAGCAAGGTCCCAGCGCAGGTCAAAACTGTGACCACGGCACAGTGGGCAGAGGGTTAAAATGATCCGTTATTTTCCTCTTCAAATAAAATTTCCCCAATTCTGTACCAAACCTCTCTGCACCATTCCTCACCCGGGTTACGCAACACGTATGTACACACAGCAGCCCGTAACTTGTCACTCGTAAAATTTCGGGTGATAATATATCCGACTCGGTCGTGCAACAGATGTAGGTGACACAGGTTAGCTCATAGACGACACGGAACAAACACGCAAAAGGAGAAAGAGCAAAAAAAAAAAAAAAAACAGGATAGAGAAAGAGAGAGTCAGACTTACGCTTACGATGAATTAGTAATAAAACATGTACCGCAGGCACCTCGCAGCAGCGTTCACAGCCCACGCGAAAGTAGTCCCTCTATCAGTAAAAGAGGTTAGTAGCCGTGGCAGAAAATAGGGGTTGGCACATAGAGAGCAATGGAGCCCGAGGTTCCATTGAGAGCCGTCAAAGCAGCCCCTACAATCACTGGTGGAGGCAGGTCGAGGGTGCACCTCGGTTAACCCCGTATACACGCTATTCGAAATAATAATTTCCCACGTGTATATTAATCCATTGTACGCTTCACTCTCCAGCAAACAAAATCTTCGATACCTCGCGCGTTGAATTAATTTCAATTGTTTAAAGTCCATTGCGCGTTCACCGCGATAAAATTCCGATTCGTTCTCGCTTCCTCTCCCCCTGCCCCCCCCCCTCCCTCTTTGCTATTGAATCCTTGTTGTTCATTATCCTTGCGCGAAGCATTTACGTGAAACAAAGTAAAATAATTGGAGATTTTCGTTCTCTTTTGGCTATGAAAATATGTGTGAGGTAGCGAGTGTTTTGGGTACAATTGTAGAAACGAACGAGAGGTGTTTACGATGTGGCGTGGCTTCGAGGAAGAGGGGGTTCACGATGGCAGTGTAATTCGAGACAAAAACGTTCGTTCCGGGCAAAACAAGCGAACTCAGGGAGCATTCTCTCTCATTTGCAGTGGAAGGTCACAAGTCTGTCGACAATTGAAGAATTTCGTTTTTTTGTGGAAGAAATGTGCTGTGTTATACTGTCTTACGCAATTCAAGTACAGAGTTTTTCTTTTCGTTGACTATATTTTTTTTTTCCTCTCTGACTCGATGTGTTTGGTAACTGCAATAGTTTCTACAAACATTTCTCTTCACTCGTGATCTTTCTTTTGCATCGTAGAATTGTATTGTCGATAAATTGACTAATTTTTCAAACATTGTTCGAATATCGTCGATTATAGTCTGTTATAGGTAATTATGTTTGTATTATTCTTCATTATTCTTTGTTAAATCATTTTCCATTTTTCATTTTGTATCGTTTATTAATTATTATTCTTCACGTCGTTATTTACAGTGAAGTGCAAAATTGAGTCAGTAAACAAAAATTTTGAAGAAAAATATTTTTCATTGTCAAATAAAGTATAGAAACGTGAATGTAAACTTGACTATCTGATTCTTTATAGTTTTAGGAAACTGAAGCTATTTTTTAACTTTTAAGATTAGGTTTCTCCCTGACTGAAACAATTAAAAAACATAGAATTAATTTTGCACCCCAGAATTTTTTCATAGTCAGATTTATAAGCTTCATCATACCGTCCATAAGCCATTTGCTTAGATAATAGCTGTAATACGTCTTGGCATATTTTCAAACAATCTTGAGCAGAAATCAGGTGGCATTTGATTCCACTGTTCTAAAAACGAGCGTGTAGTTTCAGTACTGAACTAGGAGGAGATTTGTATGCGTCTAGAATTTTTATTTCAATATACCCCATAGATTCTCGATGGTGTTTAGGTTGGGGCTTCGTGCAGGCCAACCTAAGATTAGAAATGCCTGAGTAGTCCGCTAATTAGTTACGCTTTCCACTGTGCGTTTCAGGTCCGAATATAATTTGGCAAATGTTCTTTTAAAATGTCTTTATACATATATTGATTCATAATCCTTTCAATTTTGTGCAATGGGTCAACACCATGCCGCCATACAACACCCCTACAACATATATATACGTATAAATTCTATGGTTTTTAATTTTTTTGAACCAGGAAGAAATTTAATCTTAAAAGTTAAAAATTAGCTTCGGTTTCCTAAAACTGTGAAGAATCAGATAGTATATATATATATACTTTATTTAGCAATAAAAAATATTTTTCTTGAAAATTTTTGTTACTGGCTCAATTTTGCACACCACTGTATTTATTGCTGTCATTTAGTGTTTCGCATTTATGTTCATCAACGTATCGTAGTCGTAAATTTAGTTTTATGAACGATTTACTTTCGTCGAGGAAACTTTCCATTTTATTAATTTCTCGATAGAATGAACGGATTATCTTTGAACCTTGTTATTTAAACAGATAATTGCTGCAGTTAGTATTTAACATTAACATGTTCTACGAGTTTGACAATGACATTTCGAAACAAATTGAAGAAACCGCTTCTGCGCTGTCTGCTGCGTTATAAATTTTTCGTTTCATGTTGCTCTGCCCATCTCTCTGTACTCGCTGCTTCATTGCAAGATTCCAATATACCTTTTGTGATAACGCGATTTTGCGATTGTTTGAAATTAGACAGCCCGTTTGTTACTCAGCTTTCTATAATTTACGATCATACTTGGATCATTCTCCCCAAGAAAACCGAGGTATCTCGACGAACGTTTAATGATCGCAGGCAATTTACTTTGTCTTCTTTAGGAAATATTGCAACAAAAAGAGGGCCGGTATTTACCCTTCGAGTAAGAGGATTATCCAGCTGCTCAGCACTTACCCCAGTGAGCGAGTGTCGTTCGTAGAGCTTCATGGTCTCGTCGTGCCCAGGCTTGTTGGAGGCACAAACCACTACGAAGGGAGAAAGCAGACTCGGAAGAAATTGTAGCGTCAATGACGCCCGTGTCATTTGCTTCTCGAGGAATCGAAGGACCGTGCACAATACCCACTGCTAGCTCGTAATGCCGCGTCCACACTGCTGTTGGCGAGCACTGTGTGGACACTTCAATTGCGATCAGGTTACAGCGTGCTCGTCGAAATTCTCGAAATTCTAGCCTGTGTGCTCGAGGGATGCGAAAACACATGTGTACAAGTTTACACATTTACGCCTAATTCGACACGCCGAGTCAAATGGAGCAGCACGTCCGTGTTTGTCAGTCAGAGGCGGCAGACTTCTTTCCCCTTCTGCGAGCTATTCAGCCGGTTCCCCCACCATGAAGATTCGTTTCCATTCTGTGCATTCTTTCTCGCCGCAGCAGGTCGTGCAAGCAGCTTTTCCGAGCTTCCTTTAATTGTCAGCTAAATCGAAGCTAAAGTGGGAAGATCGACGCAGCGAAAGGGATGGAAAAAGTAGGAGGCACGCGGGCCGCCAGTTCGCCACCTCTGATCTACACAAAGTTGCACGATGTTGGGCACCTCAGTGGGGACAGAGCTTAACCCCTTAAGCGTTTTGTTTTACTTTGAGAACGTGCACTTAATAATTACCAGGCGATGACGAGTATACTCGACGAAAAACACAGTAAATGCGCTTGCTGTGAGATTGAGTTAAATTACAACAAAATGATAAATTTTTGTTTGGGCGTTTCTTTGAGAAATTTTCAATTTTATTGTTTTGTTTTGTTGCCTTGAAATATTCGAAAATGTGCTAAAATTACAGATATATATATATATATAATTGTTTTATCTAAATTTCACAATAAATAGCAAAAGCGAATTTTTTTCTACGTGACGAGTATACTCGACATTAAACAAAAAAAAAAAATTCATTACAAGTTTCAGAACTATAATGTGGCATGGTTATATTGGTCAGATTCCAAGCCAACCTCACAATGTGTAATATTGCATGTATT